CGCCACCACTAGCCGTGCCACTACAGTAACCGCGCCGCTACAGTGTCACGCCGTTTGTTTTGTTCCTTCTTTTTCCATGGCCTTGAATAGGTGATTCGAGGCCACACATGACCCGATCCGGTCATCTACTACTGTCTATTTTTTTTTATCTGCTCTTAGTCTATGTTTAAAGAACAGATCTCTACTACTGCCCTGATTATTTGACTACTATCTGCCTACTACTATTGTGCAACAATGTCGGAAACAGATCTCTCCTCCTCTTCTACATCTCCCTCTGTTGCTGCTGGTCAGACTTTTGCGCCCAAGGTAGTCTTGGGGACTACAATAAAATTGAATGGTACAAACTATCTACTCTGGGCTCAGGCTTTCCGCATCTTCATTGGCGCTCAGAGCAAACTTCCACATCTTCTGGCCTCTCCTCCACCCACCACAGATCCCACCTACAGTTCCTGGCTCTCGTCTGATTATTGTGTTATGACGTGGCTCCTCAACAGCACGGAACCACAGATTAGTAGCAGTGTTATGTTCTTAACCACTGCGAAGGAGATGTGGGACAGCCTGAAGATTATGTACGGAAATGAGAAGAATGCTTCCCGTGTATTTAGATTTATGAGCGACTGTTTACGCTCAAATAGGGAGATAAATCAGTTCCGGAGTTATTTGGTGAGTTCAAGGGACTGATAGACGAACTGGAGATGCATTAGCCTGCAGTAGCTGATGCGGCGACGCTGTTGGGATATCGTCGTGACTTGGCAGTGTCCAAGTTTCTTTCTGGATTGCACCCTAACTTGCAGTCCCAGGTGAGAGGACAGATATTGGGTGGAGATACCATCCCCTCACTGACTGCTACATTCTCCAGAGTCATGCAGGTCTCTACTGGTGTTTCTTCTGATACTTCTGCACCGTCTCCACCTTCAGTGGATCAGTCTGCCATGTTCTCTAGTAGAGGCAGAGGCCGCGGTCGTGGTCGTGGTCGTGGTCGTGATTCTTTGGGAGGACGTGACTCTTTTAGTGGGAGACAGGGTGATTCTGATAGGGGTTCACGTCAGTGTGGTCATTGTGGGAGGACCAATCATATTTCTGAGAAATGCTGGGAGAAGTTTGGTCGTCCTCAATGGGCCCAAGTAGCCGATGCCGAGTCGACTCGCTCACCTATTTCTACTACTATTTCTAGTAATCCAGCTACTACTGTTCCTACTGTTCAGATTTCTCAGGCAGATTATGAGAGGTTACGCCAGCTAGAGATCTCTCAGAACAGTCATTCGGCTACTCATGCATCCTCTTCAGGTATGGATGCTTACATAGCTTCTCCTCATGAACCATGGGTACTAGATTCTGGAGCCTCATCCCATATGACAGGTATAAAGGATCGTTTTGTCTCTTTACATCTTTCTGATAAG